GGACTTGGTGATGTAGGCAATATAAACTCCCCAGAGTAGACCAGTTGCCCCAGGAGGTGATTAAACTGCATAATACAGTATCTCCAAGTCTGAGTAAGGTTGAAGTAGGGAAGCTAATGATTACCATGATCCGACAATACAGTATCACTCCAGAGACTTATACTTCAGTTGCATTCCAAAGACCCTAGCATCAGGGCACATAGAAACGATTGATAGAGAACTAAATTCAGTTCATTACCACTGTGGTCCAGATGATTATTTTCTGTGCTTTTATTTAAGTTATGGGAATATATAATTTAGGCTTCAAAGAGATTGATCCCTTGTGGAATATTTATATATTATCAACATTTGTAAAAATGATACATCACTGATAGATTTGTTTTGAGCTTTGTTATACAGATCTTTGTTCCCTTGATGGGGGGCGGGGTGGGGGGCTGGATAAGCAAGGGGAATCCTGGTCCCTGCCCCTACTTTGCATTTCATAAGACTTTAGTCTCACAGCTGCCTTGAATAGGGAAACTAAGTAAACTAAATGCATATTAAAGAGGAATGTTGCTAGCTTTGGGGATATGGGAGAGGAGGTTGGGCATATTGTCCTAGAAAGGGAAACTGGAAGCTCATATCCTATGAGCTTGAACAAATTGGTAATCATTGGAACGTGCTTTTGAGATTGCAATCTTCTGTCTCTGGGTAATATTTTCAAAAATTAGTTACAAAGTATTGTCATTACTAGGAGAATTTGGAATGCTTAGGTTATTTTCGAAACTTGCTTAGTCATCAGTTTCGATCCATAAATAACTAAATTTCTAGGTGTGGAAATATAGGAGAGTCACCTAAAATTTTTTTATATAAGTTTTAGTCATTAATATTAATTCAGTAGGAATGACCCTTCAATAAATTTTTCTCCTCAGATCATTTTATCCCCATCGAGAAGTATCAATTCAGTCTTTACCCAGTATTTATGGAAGGAGTGGGGAAACCGAAGATAATTAATAGTTTTACCCCAGGTAAATTTTTTCCTTTTGGTTTCTTTTCACACAGATGTGTGGTTTCCTACTCAGTTAGCAGTTATATTGCCATCTGATTATATTCTTTTTGATGAAGTCATGGAAGAGTCCAGAGTCTTACATAGATGTGTCAGGGAGTGATTGCAGTAGGAGTGTATGGTTCCCTGGTGGTAGTAAGAAGGAGAACAGCCAACCATGGTATTGTACTCTCGTATTGGAAATTAAATTTTTCAGTCTCAAATTGGATAAAAAGTTAATGGAAACAAAATAAAGGGAGATATGCAGCTGTACAATAAAATACATCATCAGAAAGACTACTTGGAAAAATAGGACTTTTCTGTACAATTCATATAAATGTATCTACCCCAAGTAATATGTTTGGGGGTATATACTTATGAGCCTTTAAATTTTAATCAGTCTTTTAAAGGAAACATTTTGTTCCCTAAAAATAAAACTAGAAAGGTAGTTATAGAAATAAATTCACTGTTCCTCTTAAATTTCTGATTCATCTTACCATGGTTGGAGTATTAACATTTTGATTTTGCTATTACTGTTCACATTGTCTTCAAATCGAAGCAACCTAATGATGAAGTTGAAGAGAGAAATATTTTGCCTGGTTTCAGAATTAAAATAATTATAAAAATTCATTCATTATTTGACAAATACATGTTGGGCACAAGAACTGGGGATTGAACAGTAAACATCAGTCTCTGTACTCATGGAGCTTAAACCCCAGTGCTCTAATGGGAATGACAGTAAACAAATCATGTATAATATAACAGCAGATAGAAGTAAGTGCCATGAAGCAAAATAAAAGTAAGATGAGTTAAAGTGTGGTTCTTTAGGGGCTCCTTGTTGCGGGGGGGGGGGTCTCAGTAGGGTAAGCGTCTGGCTTCAGCTGAGGTCATGTTCTCATGGCTTGTGAGTGTGCGCTCTGTGTAGGGTTCTCTGCTGTCAGCGCAGAGCCCAATTCGGATCCTCTGTCTCCCTGTCTCTCTGTCCCATCCCTGCTCACACATTCTCTCTCTCTTTCTCAAAAATAAATAAACATTTAAAAAAAAGTGCTGCTTTAGTTAGGATGCCCAGAATTGGTCTTTTTCTCTGCGCAGATGACATTTAAGTCAAGACCTACAAGTACAAAAGAAGACATTTCAGGCAAAGGTTAGCAAGTGAAAAGTTTCTGAAGAGCAAGTATATTTGGTAGCTCAAGAAAAGCAAGGTCAATGTGCGTAGTGAACAAGGTAGACATTGGCAGGTGTTGTAAGTAGGCTTCTCTAGAAGCAGATGCTGAGACAGAGTCATCAGAACTTTAATTGGTACTTTGACTTATATAACCTAAGGTGATCAAATGGAATTGGCAAAGAAATAATTTTGAAAAAATGTTTTGCTAAATTACAGTAAACATAATTCTGAACAAAATAATAATTTTATTAATGTGACCATAATTATAGTTTATCTTTTTCTTATTTTTATATCTTTAAAGTAATACAGATTTATGATAAAATCAGAAAAAAAGTCTATTGTAATTATTGATACAGAAAGATGTCATTATTTTCTCAAGCTTCCGAATCGTGTGAATTGTATGTCTTTTTCAGATGATATTGAAAAACGCCAGAATGATGCAGGTCTATATGTAATTGTGCCAATAATTATTTCCTCTTCAATCTTATTGCTTGGAACATTATTAATATCACACCAAAGGTAATGTGTTTGATGTGAAAAATCTTTATGAAAAAAGCCCTTGAGAATATTTAAACCTTAATTTAAACCCCAAATCAGAAACATTAAAGTATGCTAGATATGTTTATGTGTATTCAGTATACAATTAAGATAGCCTAAAAAGAAAAGGCCTGTTTTCAGGAAACCACATTCTGTTTTGCTAGTACCACATAAACATCATGGAAGAAATTATTTATTTATTTATTTATTTATTTATTTATTTATCCATCCATCTATCTATCTATCTATTTATTTATTTATTACTATTTTTTAATCTTTATTTTTGAGAGACAGAGAGGGAGAGTGTACATGAGCAGGAGATGGGCAGAGAGAGAGGGAAATAGAGGATCAAAGATCTGAAGCAGGTTCTACATTGAGAGTAGAGAGCCCAATGCAGGGCTCAAACTTACAAACTGTGAGATCATGACCTGAGCTGAATTTGGACGCTTAAATGACTGAGCCACCCAGGCACCCCAGAAATTCATTTTTAAAATGTAAATACATTCAGGAAATAACAGGCTTATAACAGGATATCCTAAGCAGTATGTTCTCAGATACGGCAAAAATGACTTTTAGAGTTGTAGATTTTGGGTTGAGGACTTTTAGTGATGAAGATTTACCTGGAGTGGACAGTTCATTTTTAAAAATCAGCACTGCACGGCTCCCCAGTTTGGCAAATAGCCTTGTTTGGCAAATAACCTTGAATTTCTTGTGGTTCTGTGGGTGCCCCATCACTGTGTGCTGAGAGGTCCAGACCAATGATATTATTTCACACATGCCAAATCTCTACAGAAACTTTTGTCTTATAGCAGAAAAGAGGGACAGGAGATTTTTAGAATCTGAATATATCTTTCAGTCAAGTGAGCTGATGAGGCCATATCAAGTGGAATTGTTTCTGAAATTCATCTGATGGCCACTTTTAATATATTATTTTCTCCAAGAAAATCCATGGCAAGTGTTCAGCACAGTGCCTGGCATAGAGCTGTCAAATAGTGTTGGCTATTTTTATTATTATACTGGTTATTAGATTTGATCTAGACAGAACGTTGTGGAAATCTTCATGGGATAGTATCTGAAATGAATCAAGCCCTACTGAGACATAGCTGATTAATTTCTAGTTTGTGCACTCATTAACTGTGAACATTTTCAGTATGAATGTTTTGTTATTTATCCTTTGCAGAATGAAAAAGATGTTTTGGGAAGATGTTCCAAACCCCAAGAACTGTTCCTGGGCACAAGGACTTAATTTTCAGAAGGTCCCTTTTTTAATTTTTTTAACCCAAAATATATAAGATTGCATTTAAATGCTATATGCCTTATATAGCTTCAAACATTATTAAGGTTTAAAATATTTTAAGGGTACGGTTTAAGTCTTATTGTATTCATTTAAATATGGGTTCTCTTTAATTACATATTTTTAAGAATAGCAAGATGCAGAGATTTAAAACCAGCATGAAACAAAATTCAGTAGGTAGTTTATCATGTGGGCATTAAATATATATCTGTATCACAGTATATAATAAAATAAATATTAGAATATTAAGAGTTAAATCTGATGAAGAACAGATATTTGGATATACTTTTTTGGTATAAATTGATTGTCTTTAGGTAAAAGCTGGAATCAATATTTTTTTTTTTTTTTTAATTTTTTTTTTTTCCAACGTTTATTTATTTTTGCGACAGAGAGAGACAGAGCATGAACGGGGGAGGGGCAGAGAGAGAGGGAGACACAGAATCGGAAACAGGCTCCAGGCTCTGAGCCATCAGCCCAGAGCCCGACGCGGGGCTCGAACTCACGGACCGCGAGATCGTGACCTGGCTGAAGTCGGACGCTTAACCGACTGCGCCACCCAGGCGCCCCTGGAATCAATATTTTTAATCCCTGTAATTATTTCCATAATTATTTAAATCAATTAAAAACTATAAAAATAATTATGGCCTCAAACACCACAACCTGAAAAATATAATTACCATAATAAAACTTACATTTAAGTACATTGGTTTTTTTTTCAAGCTAAAGTACTTTATGAATTAGCTACAATAAAATAATTTGTACTTACATCTATGATAGAATTTCTTAGAAACCTCTAGTGTTTAATATTTCATTAGTTCTTGTAGTTTCCCTTGAAGCCAGGTTGGTTTTCCACCCATAAAATTGAAAAAATAGAATTCAGTTTTCATGTCCAAATATCAACATGCTGTTTTAAATATCAGTCATATGGAGGTTATTAAGCAGTCTCAATGATTGCATCTTTATTATTAGTCACTGTTGAAAAGTCTTCACTGGTTTCCTTTTAGCTACAAGATAAAGTACAGTCCCTTTAAGCTAGCACTCAATGACTTCTGTCTACAATCTGTTATCAACTTACATAACCTATCTCTTCTGTCCCTGGGCCTTGGTCATGCCTTTACTGTTCCCTTTACCTCTACAGCCCCACCATGTCAGTGAAGACCTTGCCCTTCTAGGCCCCTTTCCCCAAACCTTCCTTTAACAAAAGTAGTTCAGAATTTCTCCCCCTCTAAGTTCCCAGAGCATTTTACTGTTTAATTTTTGTGAAAAGTTCTCTGAATTCCTGGGGAGTATTTTACCCCTCACAAATATTGACTGACTTCCTGCTGCATGTGAAGTATGAAAGTGAAGATTCAGTAAAGCATTGCTGGTAATTCATAAGAGTGTCTGCTTATATATGTGCAAATCACTGAGACATAGTCGTATATGCTTCAATCTGCAGCATCTCAGTTTCGTTTCCTGTAAAATGAAGTTTAATAGAACTCACATCATAAGATTGTTTTGGGGATTGAAGAAGATGGTACTTGTAACATAGTTAAGTTTCAATAACTATTAGTTATCGTTATTTTACATATTTAGATGTTTTAAATTATTATTCTTTCAGTTACACTGTGGGGTAAGTATCATTATCTCCATTTTATAGAAGAAAAAACCTGAAGCTCATAGTGATTAGGTGATTTATTTTAGAACCTGGCTTGGCTTGCCTATTTGTCTCACAGTGGAGCCTGCTCCATTAGTTCTTTTTCTCTCTAGTGGTGGCTTTCAATTTTTTTTTTTTGACCATGACCCACAGTAAGAAATATGCCTTACCTTGCAGCCCAGTACATGCATAGACGTAGATATGCAAAACTGAAAAAAGATGTCAAAGTGATTTTATTATATGCAGTGCTATTTTCAAAATTCTATTTTGTTTTAAAAATACTGATTGCAACCCAGTACGTTGATTTCACATACTAATGGCCTATGACTTGAGGTTAGAAAAACACTGCTCTACAGCTTATCGATGAACAAATGGACAAATATGTAATATTGTAGATATAACAGTGCAAACAATTAAATTGTAATTTTTCAGCAGAAATTACAGTCTTTTTTATATTAAATATAATTTATTGTCAAATTGGTTTCCATACAACACTCAGTGCTCATCCCAACAAATGCCCTCCTCAATGCCCATCACCCACTTTCCCCTCTCCCCCACCCGCCATCAACCCTCAGTTTGTTCTCAGTATTTAAGAGTCTCTTGTTTTGCCTCCCTCCCTCCCTCTCTGTAATTTTTTTTCCCCTTCCCCTCCCCCATGGTCTTCTGTTAAGTTTCCCAGGATCCACATATGAGTGAAAACATATGGTATTTGTCTTTCTCTGCCTGACTTATTTCACTTAGTATAATACCCTCTAGTTCTGTTCACGTTGCTGCAAATGGCCAGATTTCATTCTTTCTCATTGCCAAGTAGTATTCCATTGTATATATAAACCACATCTTCTTTATCTATTTTTCAGTTGATGGACATTTAGGCTCTTCCCATAATTTGGCTATTGTTGAAAGTGCTGCTATAAATATTGGGGTACAAGTGCCCCTGTGCATCAGCACTCCTGTATCCCTTGGATAAATTCCTAGCAGTGCTATTGCTGGGTCATAGGGTAGATCTATTTTTAATTTTTTGAGGAACCTCCACACTGTTTTCCAGAGCAGCTGCACCAGTTTGCATTCCCACCAGCAGTGCAAGAGGGTTCCTGTTTCTCCACATCCTTGCCAGCATCTATAGTCTCCTGATTTGTTCATTTTAGTCTCTCTGGCATGAGGTGGTATCTCAGTGTGGTTTTGATTTGTATTTCCTTGATGAGGAGTGACATTGAACATCTTTTCATGTGCCTGTTGGCCATCTGGATGTTTTCTTTAGAAAAGTGTCTATTCATGTCTTTTGCCCATTTCTTCACTGGATTATTTGTTTTTTGGGTGTGGAGTTTGGTGAGTTCTTTATAGATTTTGGGTTCTAGCCCTTTGTCCGATATGTCATTTGCAAATATCTTTTCCCATTCCATTGGTTGCCTTTTAGTTTTGTTGATTGTTTCCTTTGCAGTGTAGAAGCTTTTATCTTGATGAGGTCCCAGTAGTTCATTTTTGTTTTTAATTCCCTTGCCTTTGGAGATGTGTTGAGAAAGAAATTGCTGCGGCTGAGGTCAGAGAGGTTTTTTCCTGCTTTCTCCTCTAGGGTTGTGATGGCTTCCTGTCTCACATTCAGGTCCTTCATCCATTTTGAGTTTATTTTTGTGAATGGTGTAAGAAAGTGGTCTAGTTTCATTCTTCTACATGTTGGTGTCCAGTTCTCCCAGCACCATTTGTTAAAGAGACCGTCTTTTTCCCATTGGATACTCTTTCCTGCTTTGTCAAAGATTAGTTGGCCATACATTTGTGGGTCCAGTTCTGGAGTCTCTATTCTATTCCATTGGTCTATGACACTGTCTTATCTTCAGACCAGGTAGCACTAGTTTTAAAGATGATCATTCTCGGGGCGCCTGGGTGGCGCAGTCGGTTAAGCGTCCGACTTCAGCCAGGTCACCATCTCGCGGTCCGTGAGTTCGAGCCCCGCGTCAGGCTCTGGGCCGATGGCTCAGAACCTGGAGCCTGTTTCCGATTCTGTGTCTCCCTCTCTCTCTGCCCCTCCCCCGTTCATGCTCTGTCTCTCTCTGTCCTAAAAATAAATAAACGTTGAAAAAAAAATTTTAAAAAAATAAAAAAAATAAAAAAAAATAAAGATGATCATTCTTCTTATAGAAACTTCACTTTGTTTTGAGTCCATCTAGCCCCATACCTCTCTCAGCTATGCACTTACTTGCTGTAAGCCCTTACTCCCCTTTCATTAAACAGAAGTCATGATATTTTTTTAATTTGTAAAATATTTATTCCTCTCCTCTGTCTTCCATTGTAAATTCATATAGTAACATTTTTGTAGCTATAGTGATATTTCAGCCATATATATTTATTTGTCGTTCATTCATTCATTCAATAAGCACATAGTGAGTATTTATATGTAAGTCTAGGATATTGCTTGGATCTTGGAAAACAAATTTTTAAGAGATTTTCCTTAGTATCTGGGAAATAAGACAGATCATAAAGGAGTGGCTGGGTGGAAAGCAGAATAGAAAGAACTTGTCTTATTTACCATCTCCAAAATAGTTGATTCATTTTAAAATTCATTAATTTCACTCATTCACTCATGGGCTATTTATTGAATACCTATTCTGTGTTAGTCACTATGCAATATCTTCAGGTTGTAATGACCAGAAAACAGAAACTCCTGGAGCGAATGGTCTAGTGGGGAAGATAAGCATCAATCAATGATAATGAAAATAATAATAATATATATATGATCTATATGATATACTGATAATTATAAACAACATGTTGTTAAAGAAAAGGATCCATTGTGCTGAACTTAGTGTGTGGGATGGATGGGGACGAGAGGGTGAAGATAGGAAAGCGACAATTGATCTAAGCTCTGGAAGATGCGTAGTCATTAAATAGATTTTGTGGTGGAGGGGTAGAGCCCAGGCAAAGCCACCTGCAAATATAAAGCCCTGAGGTAGAAAGGATCATAGCACATTCACAAACTGAAAATAGGGAGATTAAAAGACAGTGTAGTTTTTAATTACAGTGTAATATTTAATTTTCTTAAATATGAAGGGTTCTTTCTTTTAATATGAGCTTTTTTTTGGTCAGAAAAACTAAATACCTATATAAGCAAAAATTTTAAAGCTTCACTATACAAGTATATATGAATGCAGAGAATAACCATCTCACTGTCTCTTTAAGGGAAGCTAAAATATTCTGTCTTCAACATGTGAAGCTCTGAAATCTTCCCTAGGCACCACCATGAAAATGGTTTCTAAGTGTTTACCAGGGCAGGGAAATGATCAGGCCCATCTCAGCAAATGCAGTTTGAGCCTGCAGCAAATGTCTTTTCCTTT